CGGTGCCCGGTGCCAGAGCCGCGCTGCGGTCCTGTGGGCACCTCTGGCTGCCGTTCGTGGTAACCGGCACCAGCGCTGCGGGCTGTGTCGTGACGTGCCCGGTGAACGATATCTTGCTCTCTTCGCATCTCGACGGAAGCTTGGCCAGGGCTTCAGCCCCGTTGCGCATCGCAGTGCTCCGTGCTAGCAGCTCTGTCTGCTGCTTTGTTGCTGTGGTGTTGCCGGAAAACAACCGAAGATCGGTGAGGAGGATTGTAAACACGCTGAAGTGACTTGCAGCTGGGATGGAGAAAAACACAAATATCATACTAATCGGCGTTTAGTCTCGAGTGCTTGACAAGTAGAACATCTGTGTTCCGCTAACCTGGTGGTGGCCTCAGAGGCACCCTGTTGAATATGCTTGAGGTTCTTGCCCTGCTGTGGGACAGATCCCTGACAAATGGGTAAAAGCAGCAGGTGTGGTAATTCTCTAGCAAGGACCAACCTCTGTGGTGCATCTGTCCACACTTGTGTGCCTCTGCCCGGGTGCTGCTTCGGAGATCCCTCTACTTGCGAGGTAATGAAAATAAATTTACTCTTTGCGTTTCATCCATGATTTTGTGGTTGTTCCTGTGTGCTGCCCATGTCGGCTCACATAGTTGTGCAGTAAGAAGTGCCAGTTATCCTGACATACAGCTTTTTGTGGTTAATGTTATCAGCTATGCGCATAATAAATCTGTAATGAATTAAACGTTCTGTAAGATTAGACATAAGGTTTTTTCTGCTGAAGACTAGGGAGAAATAATGTTATACAGAGGCTGAGTTCAGAGAGCAGTGGGAATTGCTAGTGAAAGATTTTTTCTTAGAATCAGATGTATTCTCTTTGTCTCTTTTATTTTTTTTTCCTGGTTAATAGAGCTGCTAACCTTTTGGTCTTTGTACATGCTTATCTAAAATTTAGTGAAAACAAGGCCAGCTCTTGCTGTGAGTGCCTGTTGTGTTCAGAAACCATCACAATTCTCAGTGCAAGCATCTGTTTCTCACTTTTTTATTAATCCTAAGAAAATCCAGACCCATTCAAAACAGAACATATTGGTGGTCATGGCACCAAGCCACGTCAGAGTTCAAGGAGCATCTGGACAATGCTTAGTCATAGGGTTTAGTTTTAAGTAGTCCTGCAAGGAGCAGAGAATTGGACTTGATGATCCTTATGGGTCTCTTCCAACTAGAGATATTCTGTGATTCTATGAACGACAATTCCTGTGCAATATTGTGCAGCTTTTCAGAGTCCAAACAGTTCTATTTGTAGCTGTTTTGTTAAAGACTTAAACCATTTTGTAGGTTAAATAATTTTTGACCAGCTCAAACAGATGAGACTCCTTTATCTGTAGTTTCTAAAACGGGACAATATTTAGAGAAGGTATCTCTTAAGCTGTGGGGATAGGTGACTTGCAAGGAAAGTTCTTGACTATGATATGGTGCAAAAGGAGAGTTGGGGACAGTGAGCGTAAGAATAGTTCCTAGAGCCTGGAAGGCATTATTTCAGCAAATAGCTCAGCTGCGTGTCATTACTGGGTACCTTTACATCCTCAAAATAGCAAAGGAACTATGAAAGATTAACACCGCTAAAGCCTTACCAAGTATTTTGGAACAAAAAGAAGAACTTAAGCATAACCCTTATTCCAGAAGAGTTCTCCTGAAGAAGACTGTCTTTTTTTGCGCGAATCTTGATTCTTTCCAAGGTAGATTGAATCTGCATCCTGCTAAGAGTCACCTCTATTTAACTGTCTGGTTAAACAAAACCTGGATGGAAAATGAACTCTCCGTGGGCTGAATTGCGGTAGATTTAAAATTAAAGTGTGTCTTTGTCCAGAATTGACTCTCACTGACTGGTATACGAGGAAAAAACAGTGCCTTATAGTGCCCTTACTTCTTTCTATTCTATTCCCTCCAGTCCATATTGTTTAATCTTTGAGTGGGTGTTCTTTTTCAAGGTGGTGGAGAAATGCCTGACACTTGGAGCAAAGAAAATATTTTATATCCCTACAGATATGCCTTCTCCTGCAGAGCCTGAAAAGGTGGATCAGTTTGCTATCCAAAAGCTGGGTAAGCATCTTGAGCATCTCTTTGGCTTTCAGGTATACAGACAGTTCTCATTCCAGCAGGAGCGTCCTGCTTCAGCTTCCCCGTGTTCCTCTCTGAGGGGTATGTTTAGGACAGGAGGCTGTGGGGTTTGTAAATGCCAGTCTGGATGTGGCCATCTTTTTAGCTGCCTTTCATGGGGAGGGCATGTGTTTTGCTAGAGGAGAAAAGTATGCAGAAAGTACTTACTTGCAGTGCTTCATTAAAACCACACTTTGTAGCAACAGCTGCAGTACTTCACCTGTAACAGGGTACCACATGGACACGCATTTGCCGTATGTGAGCAGGTGCCTGCTGCACACACCCAACCCTGAACATAGTGCCTTGTGTTGAGAGAGACAGAAGCTGGGAGGTCTGAAAGCAGTGACCTGTCCCTGTAGCAAAGCTCAGTCCAAGACTGTATAGAAGGGGAAGGTGGTCATCAGTTCATACCTTTCTTTTCAACCTTCTGCCATTTCTGCTGATGCATTCCCATACCAATCATAATTTCTCTGTTTACAAACTTGTATTCTTATAACCTTGAAAACAGAGTGTACCACCAGAACTAAGTTCCAAGTCTGCATTAACGTGAAACATAATTCGGAGAGCTGCTATCAAAGCAGAACAGCTTTCCTTCCAATTCTACCCCCAAGAAGCAGGCAGAGCTGCCTCCCAATGGACATATTTAATGTATCTTCATGGTAAAGCACTTTCTAACCTTCTGAGGGAGCAGCTGGTTGGTTCAGCCCTCCTGCTGGCATTTCTGAGTTCCTTGGTTACCGGTTAGGGGATATAGCCCCTTGGTTTGATTGCTTTTTCTCCTGTCCACAGGGGAACTGGATTACCTGGTATTGAACCACATTGGCATGACCCGTTTCCAGATGTGAGCTGGAGAGGTAGAATACGTGAGCTGGCTCATGCAGGTGAGGTTTCCTAGCAGGAAGAGCTCACCTGGAATTGTGTGAGTCTGGCTTCTCCTGGGAGAGCTTTGGGAAGCTCAAAGGCAAATTGAAGTCTATGGCAATGGTTGAGAACAAACCTTTTATTTAATTAATGTTTCAAGTCAAATGGCTTGGAGGCTTTCTTACTAGACAGGTATTTTGCTCAGTTGTTGTATATGTGTGCAGAGGAATGTCTGGGAGGAACTTAACTTCTCTCCTTCCTTCTATCCTTCTTATTTCCCATTAGCCCCAGGACTGTTAGGGATTGATGGGTAGTTACAGGCAATTGTGCAGTGTATGTCTAGTTTAGGAGCACCAACGGGTGAGGAGCAAGCGCTTCCTACTAATCCGTAGCAAGTGCACATGTCATTGCAGAACACAATGCATTTGTTTGAAATGGTGTTTGCCATTTGAGTCTCTGCTTACAAATTCAGAGTTTTCCTATACCATCCCTGGAAGTGTTCAAAAAACCTGTAGATGTTGCACTTCGGGATGTGGTTTAGCAGGCGTGGTAGTGTTAGGTTGATGGTTGGAATTGATGATCTTAGAGGTCTTTTCCAACCTTGATGATTCTATGGAATCACCTTGGTACCAGGTTTTGGGACCATGGAGATGAAGAGCTGTTTTCTTGATTCAGTCTTCTTAGGTCAGGTGGGTCATATTAGTTCTATTTCATGTTGGAAGGAGCCTGTTTGCTGGAGAGTACAGAACTTGTGATCACAGGTAAGAAATTTCTTGCAAGCTAGAGAACAGTTAAGCTCAGAAAAGATGCTGAATTTGAGGTTTCATTGTAGTCTGAGCTCAGCCAAGAGAAACTTAAAATGGGAGCAAATTGAGAGACAGTACTGGTGTCCTTCTTGCTGGATAGAGATTGCAGAGTAAAGAATGGCATATAGAGAAATCGGGGACAGCTAATTGTCTCTTGTAAAGCAATCTGTATGTTAAAGCCCAGTAATAACCTTTGCTCTGACTCTTTTCCATTGCTTTTTCTGGAATCTGAAAGACGCATGGATGCAGTGTTTGTCCCCATCTTCGCAGAGATGATTCTTTTTGCTTGATGTTTGAAAAAGCAAATCCAAGCCATGCTGCTTTCCATTTCTGACCACTGTATTGGCTTTCTGTCTCATGCTGACCTTCCCTCCAAACCATCTTGCTTCTTCCATGTCTACTTTTATCATTCCAGGTGAATTTATTCAGTTATGTGGCACTCACAACAGCACCTTTTCCCACCCTGGAGAAGAGTAAAGGCTCTCTGGTGGTTGTTTCTTCCCTCACAGGTTAGTGTCTTTAACTGACATAAGTGTTGGTCTTGTGGAACCAGTAGTTCCCAGCACATCGTGTTTCTCTGTGTCCTTCAACCCCTCAACGCATTTTCAAGCTGTGCATTTTATACTAGCAAGCACGATGGTGGCTGGCTGGCCTTCTTGTTTTCTGGAAGACGTTCTTTGTGTTGCACCATTTTGCATTCCTTTGGAACTTTGCTCTTCACTCACCATGTGCCCAGATCTGCTTGTTCGGCTCCTGTCCCTCACAGTCAGGCCCATCTCTCCTGCATTTCTGACACAGCATTAAGACCATCCTGCTGGCTTTGGCCAGCCTGAATGACAGGCTGCTGAGTAGCTGAACCTACTGTGCGGGATGGAAAGGCAGAAGAAAGTCTTCAGTGTGTGCTCAAGGGAGCTGCATCACCATACACAAGTTCACACTATGGCTCATCCCTGCCTTGTGACGTAATGTGCCTTGGTGTCAAGGAAATGTCATAGCCAGATGCACCAGCGTGTGACTCAGTACGTGTGTTTGCATGTGACCGGGGAGGGGAAGGCTGCATGTAGACCACCACACTGGGCTTTTTAGCCCACTATGTGACCTGGTTACTGTGTGAGTTAAATTTGCTCCCCTTATCCACATATGTGGTGGCGCTCATGCTGGGATGTGTTGACACAAAGTGGTATAATTTTCTAAGTGCCTGCATGTGACTAGAAATAGAGGGAAACTCACCTGAACAGACTATGGTTTGATGCAGGATGGCAAAGCCTCTGTCATTGCCCAGATTCCCTCTTTGTGGCACCACGCTCCTTACAGCCACTTCCCTGGTGTTTTCCATTCTCTCCTTTTCCTTGCCAGGGAAGATACCAACTCTCTTCACCACTTCTTAATCTGCCACCAAGTTTGCACTGGATGGATTCTTCAGCTCCCTGTGCCATGAGCTCATCATGCAGAAGAGAAACATCTGTATCACACTGTGCATCCTGGGCCTGATTGATACTGATACGGCATTAGAGAATATCAGGTGTGTATTTGGAGGAGGATGTAGGAGTCTGGGAGGGAGTGTGTCTGCAGGAACATGTCGCTTCTTGAAAGCATGCAAAAAATGCACAACAACTGTGTTTAAAATGCCGTGCACATCTGTTTGGATGTGCAAGAAAACTAATGGGAAGAGTGCATCTGCTTGGTACATCATGGAGGGTGTGTACGTCCACCTCACTATGGAACATGAGCATGCAGAACCCTGTGGTAGTCAGTCTGCACAGTTAAAACCACACCAAGGATAGACTGGCTTTGAGTGATCCTCTCACTGTTTCCTTCCAGGGGCAAAGTGCATCTAACTGCTTCTCCTCCTCCTGAAGCTGCACTCGCCATCATCCAGGGGGGTGCTACACAGGTGCAGGAGGTTTTCTACCTGTGGTGGCTGCAGTACATGTGCCACCCCTGGGTTTTGTTCCCCAGTGACCAGGACCAGGTTTTACAGAGTTACTAGAACTACAGCAGTCTGTAAGGGATGCCCAGTCTCCTCTCCCATTCTACATCCCTTATAATCACATTCTCCCTGTCCCACTAAGCATCCCCTTTATCCTTTGGTGTCAAGCAGGAGCAGGGCAGCAGTGGTGGCAAAGCAACCTTAGCTCTTTTCATCAGATGCTGATTGGTGTCTCTCTCTCTCTCTCATCCTGCTTCAGCACAGTTCTGCTATTTCTAGCCATCAGTCAGAGATCTTGCCCACTCTTCACTCTCTTAGCCTTCCACCCATCTCCTCTCCTTCAGCCTCACCTGTCTCCTTTTACTGCCTCCAGTCTTCTCTCAGCTCCAGCTTTAACCTCTGTCAGTACAGAATGTCCTGGAATGTGTGTGCATTCCTGGCAAATCCTGCTCCACTGCTTCATTGTTTTATGGATTCTGTGGACCTTCTTGCTTCCTATAAATAGAATTTTAATCTCTATTTTAATTAGACTGGGGGGTGTTTATGTGATGGTGTTACATGTTGATGCTTCCTCTGTGAAGGAAGGCTGGTGACCTGGCTTTTGGTGCGCACAGACCTGTTGGTAGACGTTTGCTGACTGCATAGGACCTGTTAAATCAGCTCTTCCTTGCTGTAAACGCCAAGTTGATGATTCCTGCACTGAACAGGAGAAAGAATTTAGAGGGAATTCTTCCCTAACACATTATTTCTATGGATATGTGTCATGGCTTTTAAGGTGTAGCAGCTAAGAAAAAGCAGTCTGCTTGAATCCTTCTGGGCTGGGGATGGACAAAAGGTCCTATATGGGCTCCCTTGGTGTCTGAAAGGATGGTTATTTTGTGTGTTGTTGCCCTCTGCAATGCATGACTCCTGAAGGAATTTTTAAGTAGCTTTGAAAGCAGAACATTTTTTAGAAACTGGTTAACTGGTTTGGAATTCATTGGAACAACCAAGTATTGCTTAAAAACCATGCTTGTCTAGGGAATATAGAACTAAAATGGCATGTGCAGAGCCTTGCCAGTCACGATCTTTGTTCAGTCATAGCTGGTCTTCTCCAAGGAGAAAAAAAGCATGTTGAGAGGTGCATTCTAGCTGGTGAGAGGTGGCTTCCTGGGAAAGGATCACTGCATGCCCCCCGCCTTCTTTGCTCTGTTGACAGCTAGGTGCTAGACTAAGTGCACTCTTGTTCTGAGCTAAATATAAAAAACTTGTGCGCCTGCAAGAGATGTCACTGAAGCTTGAGTTCTTACTCTTGTTACTGGGAATGGTGTGTGGCACTTCTAGTCATAAGTGCGTTTTATTCACATCATAGGAACAGGCACCAGCTGAGTGTTTTCCTCCCTCTCCCCTTGCCATTGACTGGACTTTGACATGACAAAGCTTTCTTCCAAGCTGTGTGGAAATAAGAACTCACTGCAACTCACAAATTCTGGAGTTTGAATTCACCTCTTTTAAAACACACACCTGCTTGCTTCTCACAACAGATTGCAGTATACTCCTTGTCTCAGTCACTGCAGAATTGTTGTCAAAAATTGTGGTAGTCCTAGATTTCATTCTCTGCTCGCATTCTGCTTTTCTCCAGCACTAGTAAATAGCGGTTTCAAAGCATAAGAAAGTTTCAGGGAAGTGGTGCTTTTATAGAAGGGGGGAGCTGAACCATGGGCATGGCAAATGGAGTTGGTTCTCTACCCGTGCCAAGTGTGTTCCTCGCCTGCACGGCAGAGATGAGGAGTCTGTGCGTTTGCTTTCCCTTTTCTTGGTTCTGTGCATAGCACCAGATGGGCTAGGTTTTGGTTCTTGTTTGATTGATTTCCATCAAGGTGCTGTTGAGAGAACCAGTTTTGTTCTCTCAGGTGAGAGCAGAGTATACAGGAGCTCTTAAAAGATGTCTGGTATCTGCATACAAGAGCTGTGACTGCTTTGTGTTTAGTTCTGCTAGAGCTTGGCTGCTGAATTCATTCATTGCAAGTGGGCTAATACAACAAACTTTAATTTTGGGGATCATATGCTGAAGACTGGAATAAAAATCCAGAGACAGCTTTCTTAAGGACACAGGGACACTGTGGTGTTCAGATTAAGGCAGGGTTGTATTCTGTAGGACTCAGGCTCTGTCATCCATCTCCCTGTGAAATGCTTTTTAACTGACTGCACAGATGATTTGCTGAATGGAAGCCGACTTTCCTCATCCCAGGCCTTTGGTGATTGTCTTCAAGTGTAAACATTATATGAAAGCAGGTACAACTAACACATAAAGTAAAACCCCAGTTTACTTAGCAAGTAAAACTTTTATTAAATAAATTTAAGATTTTTTTTGACCAGAGTGAGGAATTTGACATTGACGAAGCTTGTATCGCACCTGTAACATTGTACAGTCACATCGGTAACTGTGATGGAAGAAACTGTAAATCCTTGTTTTAAACCAGCTTGATGTAGAATTTCCAAAGTCCTTTTTTTTCACATTTTGCATTTGTTGGTCTGGTTTTTGTGTTTTGTTCTGGTTTTTTTTTTGGTTTTTTTTGTTCAAAATTAGATTAAGTTTAAAGTTCATGAAATTACTTGTAGCAGAAATAAAGTACATTATACAAATCACATACATAATAGATGTTAAGTATAAAAATGGTATTTACAATAAGTAAACATGGACTATAGAAACACACAACTCACACACCTTCATCCATCTCTCATAAACGCTCAGCATCAGATACAGAGGGCTGGTTGAGGAGATGTGAAGGTACTTAAAGAACTGTGCCACAAACATCTGAACAAAAGGAAAGTGGAAGAGGATGAGAATTGGCTCAGGTTCTCTGAAATCCCCATTATCTCGCTTCAGTAAAAATTCCATCAACCTTTCTTCACCAACCCTCTGTTCATGTTTGAATGCAGACACACGCACACAGACACGCACGCACACAGACACACACATATATGCACGCGAATGTTCTTGGTACCTTATCAAATGCTGGAATATTGAAACTAATCATTCAGAAGGTTTGTGGTGTTTTGTTTTTCTTTCCTTATTTTGGCAGAAACTTAGAGATTGTTTCAAGTTGTCAAAGGGATATGCCTTGTCAGTATGGCACAACCCACACCCCCAGAGGATCTTTGTTAAATCAAGCTTTGAACTATGTTCTGTGCTTAAGTGTATGTGCATATAGCTGTATCTATATATATGCTGCATAATGTATAATCTGTCCCTTGGAGTGGGGTGGTGGAGAAAAAAACAGCATGGTAACCCTCTTTCATCACACTATCCTTGTGTCTGCTTGGGAGAGCTTTGCAGAGGGTGTAAGAGGTGAGTCCCCTTGCTAAATTCAGATGGAGAAAATGTCCTGTTTTGTCTGGGAATCGTAACTGCCCGCTAACCGTTAGGTTAATTCTGACAAGGGGAGGCAGTGTGTAGCCCCTGGGAGGCTTCTGTCACTGGTTTGGAGACTGCATCTGTTCAGACTCTCTCATCTTCTCTTGCCTTGATCAAGAAAATGCTCCGTTACCATGGAGAGCCATGAAATACGAATCTGTGCCATGTGTAGGGAGGAAGTACAGTTCCTGTAGGTAAAGGGACTGGTTTCCTCTGCTTTCAGCCTAATCGAGGAGTGCTCAGATTAGGCTTTGGCACCAAATTCCAGGAGCTTTGTCTGCAGAAGCCCTTGGAAAGGTAAGCTCTTGAGATCCGTAACCAGGCTGGTGCTAAGGTTGGTGGATGAGTGACTCGAGCTGAGCAGCTGGCTGTGCCCTAATCCTGGAGGTATGTAGTTCTCTTTCTTCTTGCTAATGTTGAGCAGAGATGCGCTCACTCGCTCTCTTGCTCTCTGTGCATCCAAGCGTCCTCTCAAAATGTTCAGGCCTATCTGCAGTGCTTGCTGAGAAGACACTGTTGCAAAGGTAAACCCTTAACTTCCACTCCCTCTTGCAAGGAGTCAGTCTCTGAATGGAAAAATTTGGTCCTGTGAGCCACTTTAAAAAAAAATAGAGACTGTATATATATATATATATTTATATTTGTCTATGAAAGGGCCAGGAGACGGGCAGGAAGGAGGGATGGGTGGAGCTAAGTTTCCATACATCACTGCAGTAACCTAGAGACACACCAGTGGGTTTTCTTGGTCCATGTACTCCAGGCATACCCCAACAGGAAGAGCTTTGGGTCCCCAGGGGCTGCTGGTTTTCTGGTCCCTTTGCTATGCACATTAGCAGCAAATATGCGAGTCCGTTGTGGCAAGAATCTTCCTGCTGGGCGGATACTGAGCCTTCTCTTTAATTGTATGCTTTTGGGAGGAGGGCAGAAGGAGGATGGGGTAGGTAGGTGGGGAGCAGAGGAAGGAAAGGGGTGGTGTCAAAAGAGTTGATAAATTTACTGGCCTCTCTGTAAATCAACCTGAAGCAGAAATTCTTCCTCTGGACTTTCCCTTCACCTGAATAGAAAGGGAGGAGGGAGGGAGTTGGGAGATTAGAAGGACATCTATGCAAACCTCAGGCTTTCAGTTGCTGTTGCTTAAATGTGGACGAAGACGACCCCAATTAGCAGGGACCAAGATCAGCCCTCCCTTGCTCCCAGTCTGTTGACTGGTAGGAGCTAGCTCTTTGACAGCCAGCTCTCATGTCAGGCAGCCCTTCTGTGGCCTTCAGGGTCTCACCTTCTCTCTGCTTTTCTGGGATCCTTGTGAATCATGGGATTGTCCCTTCTTACCCTGGAAGGCATTCTCTGCAGACTAATTTTGGGGCACATGTAACAACTGAAAACAGAACTTGGGTTTTAAAACCTTTTCAGGAAGATGTTTTTTGGGAGCAGACAGAAAGTAGACTGAAAGCTTGCTTAGACCACAGGCAGGTAATCTGAACCACCCATCTACCCGTCAGGGCCCTGAGTACACTAACGGGCCTTAATGGCCCTGACCAGCCTCGCCTGCACCTTCTGTCACACCCTCTGCGCATGTGCCTGGGAGTCTCATTACACCTCAGGCCTGTGCCTTCAGTCCTTGTCTGATCTACATTGCAGAAATGTCAGTCTCCACCTGTCCATGGACTTGTCCTGTCCATGGATCTTCTTATCTGGTCTCCAACCCTTGGATTGTCTTTCCATCTTGATGTCAGAGCTGTTTATTATTCTCATTATAGATCTGCTTGGCAATCACTGGACTATGTCTGACCCCGTTTACCTTCACCAGACCTGATCCTGATCTTGACCTACAGATTGACTCTCTGGCTTGGCCTTGGGCCTGCCTCATTGCCCCAAACTTGCCTGATGATCTAGACTCCTGGTTGAACCTGACCCATCATCTCCAGGCCTGCCTTGGTCACCTTGCTCAGGTGCTGGGGCTGGACCCTGGCAGGCAAGGCCTCTGCCTTGCTAGCTGTGTTACTGCATTCAGCTCCTGGCTTCCCACCCTGTAGGGAGCAGCCAGACCTTGCTGCCCCCTGGCACTGGCCAGCACTGTGTAGGAACTGTGCATTGATGGTGCCAGCTTTACCTGTGCTGCAGAAGTGACTCCTGCTTGCTTGCTGCTGTCAGTAGGGATGATTAGCATCCTTGGGTCGTTTTAACTGGACCTTCAAACGTTTCATGCCAATCTGGAAGCCATTCATGGCCTGGATAGCAGTCTGTGCACTGGATGGGTTGTCAAAGCTTACAAAACCTGAAGGACAGGACAGACATGGATAATAATGGCACTGTTGGTGCCATGCCCAATGCATGAGTGTCCTCATTATCCATCATGCTTCCCTTGCCTGCTGGCATCAGCACTCACCAAAACACTTGCTCTGGTTGGTGGCACGATCCATGAATACCTTGGAGGAAATTATATTGCCAAAGGGCAGGAACATCTGCATCAACTCATTGTCTCCAAACTCCTGAGGGAGATGGTAGATGAAGAGATTGCAGCCTTCAGGACCTGCAGGCATGGGGACAATGGGGAGGGACAAAACAGAGAGCCCCCAAAGGGAAGGGGAAGAAAAACAGGCTCAACTCAGAGCACAGCACTGGAGGAGAACCCCAGCACTGCCTCCTTCTTTCTGGAGCTCCCCTTGCTTCTCTCTCTCAGTCACTGGTCCACAAAGGGTTCTGAGGACTCTCTAAGAGCAGCTGGGAGGCAATACGCAGAGCTAGAGTTTCTGGAGAGCAGATTCACTTTCACAGCTTGCCCAGTTCCCATGTGGTGTGCTGGACACAACAACTCTGTGAGTGGGTGCTGTTTTGCTGGAAGGAAATTAGCCGACACTGCTATGTGAAAGCTGCTGCTCTAGTGTTCCTTGCCCACAGCTATGCAGTGGTTGCCCTCAGCCCACAAGCCACAGCCCCATCTGGAAATCTCCTGGATTGCCACACATCCAATTTACAGGCTGACCTGGTCCTGCCCACTCCTTCACTTGCTCCCTGTTGGTCTGATGAGCACAAGGCGCTGTTCCCTCACTGACACCTGCTGTACAAAGCAGGAGCAAACAGAGAATGCCTTTGCCTCCAAATTCTGTCTAGACCAGTTTCGAAACAAGCTGAAAAACAAACTCATGAAACTAGGAAAGCTGAAGAGAGAGGACAGTAGTTTGGAGAGGCTGGTTTGACTGGTACCAGTGTGGTTCTGGCATCAGTAAAGATGGCGAGGAAGTGCTTTTTTACCCCCTGCCTGCATAGGGAAGGTGCTGACTATACTCTTTGATGTCAAGGCTTGGAGTTCTAATGCTTGCTGACCCCTTTGTACTTGGCAGCATCTGGCCAAGGATGAGCTCAGAAAGTCTGCATGACAAGCATCCTCTGAACTCTTCAGTCTACTCACTGCAGAGACATGGTTGGTTCCATAACCCCGCTCCAATATTAAAGATTAGAGTGGACAAAGATTAGTACTGTCTCCTCTCCATTGTTCTGTGGTCCAGAAGACAAGCTACACAAAAATGACCAGAGGGATGGAACACCTCTCCTGTGAAGAAAGGCTGAGAGAGTTGGGGTTGAGAGCTGGGGAGAGAAGGCTCTGCGGAGACCTTAGTGCAGCCTTTCAGTACTTAACGGGAGCTTATAAGAAAGATGGGGACAAACTTTTTAGCAGGGCTTGTTGCGATAGGATAAGGGGTAATGGTTTTAAACTAAAAGAGGGTAGATTTAGACTAGATGTAAGGAAGAAATTTTTTAGAGTGAGGGTGGTGAAACACTGGAACAGGTTGCCCAGAGAGGTTGGAGATGCCCCATCCCTAGAAACATTCAAGGTCAGGTTGGACGGAGGTCAGAGCAACCTGATCTAGTTGAAAATGTCCGCTCTCATGGCGGGGGGGGTGAGGGTGGTGATGCTGGACTAGACGACCTTTAAAGGTCCCTTCCAACCCAAACAATCCCACACAATCCCCTCCCCCCGCCACTGGACACACACATTCCCACCCTGATCCTCACCTTCTCGTTGCTGCTGCTGCAGGATGGGAGGTGGCTGAGGGATGCTCTGAGCAATGGGGGTGATGGTGTTGTTTGGATACACCGCTGTATTCCAAGAAGACGGAACAAACTGTTTACCTGAGGATCTGGTCAGCCACACAAGGGCCTGAGGGAGACAAGGGAAGCTGGTACCTGCATACTGCTGAACTCCTGTGAAGGCTGGGTGCAAAGTCTCTGCTACTGAAGGATTCTGGGCTGCAGAAAAGAACATAATCAGAAGCACGCCAAATGGAATCACTCGTGTTCTCTCTCTCTCTCTCCCCCCACCCCCCTGCTAAGTGAGTCCCAGTGCCTGGCTGGTAGGGAGCTAGAAAAAGTGTTTTGTGGGGGGAACTCAAAAAAGAGGAGCTAACTGCAGTTCCTGAGGTCTCTCGATGTTTTTTTTTTCCTATTCTCCATACCTGAGTATGGCACAAGGCCATTGGTGTAAACTGTTTCCAAGGCTGGATGCCCATTTGGGAATGGTATCACTCCAGTGAATCCATTTGAAATGGGTGCCACCAGTCCTGGCATGGCTGCTGTTCCCAGGAGAGGCGGTGAATGTAGCCCTGTAGAGCAAGAAGAGAGGACATCTCATGAAAGTTGAGGTCATGCAAGGCCCACGCTCCCTCCTACCATCTGCCTGGCAAGACTGCCATGTATGAACCTATTCTCTCTTCCTAGTTGGCATGTGAAGGTGACAGACACTAGTGCTGGAGCCTTCACAAAATTAGAGGCAGCGCTAGTGAGAAGAGCATGCACAGCATTGCTAGGCCTGCCTGCTGTCAGAGCTTTGGGATGGAACATTTTTAATTCAGGTTTGTACAGCACGTAGCATGATACAGCCCTGTTCTTGACAGGTGTTCAAACCCAATATGCATTATTGCTGATATTATTACTGTGGGATGGTGATAATGAATAATAGCACTACTGTACTTGGAGTGAGGTGCAATCCTGGGAACCTGGTCTTTACTACATCAAAGGGGAAAACTGCAGCAGAGAGGAACAGCAGTAGGGCAAGAGAATGTGTGTTAAACAGGTAAGGGTGTCAAGGATGTTGCTGAAATTTGCGCAGAACTAGGGCCTGCTGTCCTCAGAGGCTGCACGGTTAGAAAAGAGTGGCCTAATCCTGATGCCGTGCCCAGAGGGAACTGTTTTACCTGTATGGGCACCGTGCTGAGTGCTGGGGTAGTGAAGGACTTGCTGCATCCTGGCCCACACCAGGCCCTCACCTGATGTTGGTGCAATAGGAGTGGCTGGCAGCCCGTTGAGACTGACGGCACCGATCTGTTGGATGTGGCAAGGGGAAAAGGCGACGCCTGGGCTCAGGTAGCTGCCGTGGGAGGTTGAGAGAACCGTCGTCTGCTGCTGCATCAGCTGCAAGGCAGGACCATGCAGTCAGGGCCCCATGCTGCCCAGGGCTTCGTGCCACCTGGGGGCTTGCGCTGCCCAGGAGGTCTCACTCCACTCAGGGCCTCGCAGTGCTGGGGGCCTTCGGCCATCAGGGCCCCAC